CTCTGAGTCTTCAGAGTCTGTGAGAATGACTTCTCTATCTGCAGAATTAACAAGCTGCTTTGGCTTTTGATTTCTAAGCTTATCATCAAATCTAACATGTATTGATTCCTCCACAATCTGTATCTCAGTATTGTATACTCTGTAGCCTTTAAAGCGTTCAAAATACCCAAGCATGAAACACTTATGTGTTTTAGAATCAAACTTGTTCAGATTCTCTTTAGTATCCAACATAAAACATACACATCCAAAAGGATGGAAATAAGAAATGTTGCTCTTTCTATTCCTCCACAATTTATAGGGAGTCTTCTCCAGAAGAGGTCTTACAGACACTCTGTTCTGAATATAGCAAGTTTTGTTAATTGCTTCTGCCCAAAAATGTTTTGCCAGATTAGTCTCGTTGATCATGGTTCTGACCATTTCTTGCAAAGTTCTATTTTTCCTCTCTAGAACTCCATTCTGTTGAGGAGTTCTAGGGCAGGAGAAATCATGTGCAATTCCATTTTCTTTAAAATATTTTTCAAAATATTTGTTTTTAAATTCACCACCATGATCACTTCTGACTTTAACAATTTTAAAATCTTTTTCATTCTGAACTTGTTTGCAGAAGTCAAAGAACACAGAATGTGACTCATCCTTGTGTTTTAGGAATTTCACCCATGTCCATCTGATGTAGTCATCAATAATGACTAATCCATACTCTTGCCTCTGATGGATGCAATTTTCACTGGTCCAAACAGATCAATATGAAGTAACTCTAATGGTCTTGATGTTGAAACAACATTTTTAGTTTTAAAAGAAGATTTTGAAAATTTTCCTTTTTGACATGCTTCACAAAAATCATCTGAGTTGAACTTCAACTGAGGAAGTCCTCTGACCAGATTGAGTTTATTAATCTGAGATATACGTCTCATACTAATATGCCCCAATCTTCTGTGCCAGACCCATTGCTCATCATTAACAGACAGAAGACATTTTACATTCTGAACCTTAAGTTCTGAAAGATTGATTTTATAAATGTTGTTCTTCCTCTTTCCATTAAACAGGATTGAGCCATCCTTTTGACTGACAGCCTTGCAACATTTTTGATTGAAGATTATGTCATAACCATTGTCACTTAATTGACTTATGGACAATAAGTTATGTGTTAATCCTTCAACAAGTAAGACATTAGAAATGGAAGGAAGATTACCATTTCCAATAGTTCCAGAGCCAACTATCTTGCCCCTCTGGTTCCCTCCAAACTTGACGTCTCCTCCAGATCTAAGTTCCAAGCTTTGGAACATAGACCTTCTTCCCGTCATGCGACGCGAGCAACCAGAGTCCAGGTACCAAGATTGGTGTTTTGACTTTGCTGCTAAAGATGTCTGCAACAGATATTATTTTGTCTTTAGGTACCCAGATCTTTTTGGGTTCTTTAGGGTTAGTTGCCTTAAAGTTTTGTCTGAACTTCTGTCTTCTGACAACAGGCTTGTTCTGACTAACTTTAGGTTTAAACACAGGAATATTCTGACCAGAACGTGTGTGTTTAATATCATTAAGATGACCATACTTAAAAGTGGAATACAGAGGAGTATGCTTGATGATTAGTTTATCAATAGATGTTGGATTTAAATACTTCTCAAAAGAAGATTCATATCCAATACCCTTCCTGTTATTTCTGCTTACACCATAGATCATTGAAGCCGTCTTGCTTCTCTCTAGGCTTCTTGACAGAAAAACTTCTGAAAACTATAATCATATTCTTCTAAAATATTTTTAAATTTTGACTTAGTTTCAACTTCAGAATCTTGTTGAGCTTTTTCTAATTCATTTTTAATTTTCAAATTGTTTGCTTTGAGCTCAACAATTTTTGATTTTAGAAGATCATTCTCAGATACAAGATTGTTTTCACACTTCTTGTATTTGAGCTTAATCTTACTATAGTTTTCCAACATTTCAGATAAACTCTCAATAAGTTCTGCTTTAGAAAGTTGAGAAAATACCTCCCCAGAGTCTGATTCTGATTCTGATCCAGATGTTTCTGCATGGTCTTCTACGTCATCCATGAGTGCCATGTTTGCACATTCTTCATCTGAGTCTGATGAAGATTCAGATGCATCTGAATCATCCCAGGTTGCCATCAGAACTTTCTTTTTATGATCAGACTTCCTTCTTGGCTTCTCCTTCTAAAGCTTTGGGAATTCATTCTTGTAGTTCCCAGGTTCCTTGCATTCATAGCAGACAACCTATTTCTTTTCAGATCTTCTGTGTCCAGAAGACTCTTTATGTTGATCTGGTTTCCTGAAGTTTCTGAATTTCTTCTGCTTATGCTTCCAGAGTTTGTTGATCCTTCTGGACAGCAAGGACAATTCATCTTCTTCTTTAGAAGAAGATTCTTCAGAACTTTCTTATAAAATCTGCAAAGCTTTGGCAGATTTGTTAGACTTTAAAGCAACAGACTTACCTTTTTTCTGGGGTTCGTCTTCTTCTAGTTCAATCTCATGACTCCTCAGAGAACTGATCAGTTCCTCCAGCGTGATCTTGTTCAGATCCTTTCCTAGCTTCAGAGCAGTGACCATTGGTCTCCATCTGATTGGCAAACTTCTGATGATCTTCTTAACATGATCAGCAGTGGAGTAACCATTGTCCAGAACTTTCAAGCCAGCTGTGAGAATCTGGAATCTAGAGAACATAACTTCTACAGATTCCGATTCCTCCATTTTGAAGGCTTCATATTTCTGGATCAGCACCAGAGCCTTGGTCTCCTTAACTTGAGAATTCCCTTCATGAGTCATCTTCAAATATTCAAACATACCAAATGCTGTTTCTCTGTTAGTAATTTTCTCATACTCAGTATGAGATATAGCCTTTAGTAGTATGGTTTTTGCTTAATGATGATTCCTGAGTTCTTTCTTCTGAGCTTCAGTCATAGATTTTCTGTCTATCTTTTTGCTATCCCCATCAGTGGGGTGAACATAGCCATCAATGACTAAATCCCAAAGGTCAGCATCATATCCTAGAAAGAAGCTTTCAATTCTGTCTTTCCAGTAGTCAAACTTCTCCCTATCAAACATAGGGGGTTTAATGCTGATTCTATCTCTGTCCTCATATCTGTTTTTGTTGGACGTTGAAGCTTCAACCATAATGTATCAACCAAAATATATCAAGAGTTTTCTCAACTAGATCTTTTCTGTTCATGGTGAAGTGAGAGCACTAACAGAACCGGAGCTCTGATGCCAACTGAAGGTGAGAAAAATACTTAGAGTGGGGGGGAGGTTGAATAAGGGTTTAGAAATAAATATGGCAATAAAAACGACACAATACTTTTATCCTGGTTCGTTGAACTCAACTAATACAGTCCACCCTATCAAGGTGATTTGCCTTTCTCCACAAGGACTTAATCCACTATATTCAAACAGATTACAGTGTCAACCACTAAGAACAACTGTCTTAGTCTTCTCAAGAAATTCTGACCACAACTTGGTCTTCTTAAGGAATCTTTTACAAATAAATGTAAACTAACAAGTGTTTAAGATGCTTCTAAAAAGCTATATCACAAACTGTGATTTTTACACTTAGATTAAGAACGAATAAAACTATTCAGCTTTGAGTAAAAAAGATTGTATGAGAGTTGTTGAATAATTTCAATGAGTTTGTCAATAATTAGTTAACCTTGAAATGTTGTTGAAGACATCCTTTTATAGACTAGAAGGTTCAATGCTTGGAGATTGTGCCTTGCTGTGTAGCTGTAGTCTTTTGTCTTCATATGACTTTTTCTTTCTCGGAAGTGGAATGTTTAGAGAAATGCCTTTTGCCTGAATCCTTGTGTCTATCACAAATAAGGAATAATTCCGTTGGAGAGGACGTTGAGAATAGTACCAGGTCTATTCACGTGCTGACATCTTTTCATACGTAAACAACATCAAATCCTCTGATGTGCTTCTTGTTCTTCAGATCAGATTCAATGATATCAAAGTTCCAGCAACAGTGCTTCAGCGTGAGTGATCTGATCAGAGCATACTTGTTTATCAGAGCCTCTGTACTTGCAGCGTAAAGTACATTCAGAGTCTTCTGAAACAATGCTTTAAACTCTTCATACAAACTCTCCAGCTACGCTTCAGATGCTTCTGCAGCTTCTGCTTCAGAGTCTTCTGATGACTTACTTCTGATGCTTCAGAGTTTTGCGTAACTTGCTTCTGATGCTTCAGAGCTTTGCGTAGAGTAATGTTCAGATGCATTTTTCCTTCCATAGGAATATTTAATTCAATATCTGGAACACAAAACACTTGAACAAAATTAGAGTATATATTTTCTTAATACAAAATCTCATTAGTGTTATCATCAAAACATAAAGATATATTGAACATCTATCTGTGTTCTAACACATATGAATTTAACTCTTTTTGTTATCCTCAACATCCAAAGAGACTCTCCGAAACACTTCACTATTCCAAGCCTTAAGTCTACCATTAAGGATTTTGAATTTCTACTTAATGACATAATCACTTCCTTCTCGGGTTGATAATCTCCTTCCACATATCTTTCTTTTTTTCTCAAACAAGAGGAATAGACATTAAGGAAGTTAATGAACAATCCCTTCCAAAGGACTTTCATGCCTAAGTACCCTTGTGTGATTAACTAAAGAACCGAGGGAAAAGTGGCTGCACAAGACTGGCATCATAGTTTAACCAACCGTCATCCTTCTGAAATCAAGATTGCACAATGAAAATACTTCATGTTTAAGACAAAACTAATAAGGGTATTAGGAATCAAGATTGCATATTGTATTCCATTTAAAGCATTACATATTGTGCTTTACATAATAAGCACAAGAAACCTACTGTCCATACATTATAATACATCATCATGGACATATACAAACTTGTAACCATATAACATAATTAAACACTGCTAACATAATGCATCTCTCATAATTTTAACCTTTAAAGTAGCTGCTATATTAATTGTGTAATTCATTATTCAAGGATAACCCTATATGGATCAAACTGTTACTGTTTTAATCACTTGGAAACCCAAACAACATGATCCTGTGGAAGGAAGTGACAAACAGGAACAGTTCCAGGTTGAACATTAAGCACTTGAAAAGCCAAATGTTTAGGATTCCATTGTGATGTATCTGTGTGACAAGCAGCAACAGCTTTAACTCTATTTCCATCAACACCTTCCAATGGCACCGAGTAGACTTTAGTTGTGTCTGTTTTATGACAGTAGAAAACTGCATATGGATAATTCTCTTTGTGACACACCACAGCTTTGTTCTTCTCTCCCAATCTCTTCACTCCTTTCGCTATTACATATTCTTCTAACTCACTGCTGTCTTTTTTCACTTCTGTTGAAACCGCTTCAACATTGTTTCCAAGTTTGGAAGTAGTAAAGTCAACCATAGATTCCAATGATTTAACACAAAGCTTTTCTTCACCTTGGATACCGTTTTCTTCGCACTCATTTATCGTGTTCTCCACAATTTCAGCTTCGTCTGAGCCTTTTTTGATTGAGAACTTGTTAAGGATGCTATCTACTTTGTTTGATGAAAATGGGATTGAATCAGCAACTTCTTTAGTTAAGAACTTTGCTTCGCTGTTTGAGGTTGTTTTCGTGAATTGCAAGTTCAACTTCGTTCCATAATGCAAATTATTTTCTAAGAAGAAAAGTGCTACATTAGGTTCATCATGTAACTGTGTTTCAGTTGCAGCATAATTGTACTGAAATGGAGAACTATTTCCAACTGAAACATTTCCTTTTCCTGTGTTAACATTGACACCGCCATTTCCAACGTTAACCGCTGTCCCACCTGAAGGTTTTCCTTCTCCTGCATCAACATTGACACCACCTTTTCCTACAGCTACCGACGTACTTTTATCTTCTGTCAAATCTGCATAGATTCATATATAGTTTCTGTAAGTTCATCACAATATTCACATGCAAATCAGATTCTAAAGTTCGATAATGATTATTTCAGTCAAGATTCAAATTCGTGTTATACCAAAAAATTATATATACACTAACCAGTTGGGTTGAGGAGATCTATGATGGCTTTTGGCATTTGAGTTGTTGGAAGTTTGGACTTCCAATACAATTCAGGAGGTAGTGCAGCATTGGTTGATACTACAACTGCAAGCTGCAATACAACATAATTTTAGGATTTATTCAAGAAAATAAGTAACTAAAAGCTGGGAAAGTGTTGCTTACACTGAGTGCTATAAATATGGACAAATGTGGAAACTCCATTATGAGAATAAAGCTAGATTGAGAAATAGAGAAACTGATGAATGCAAGATAGAGAATGATGATCCCTAAGTAGACTCACACCTATTTATACATATGGACTCACACCTAGATAGAAGTAGTAATTAAAGTCGGTTGTATGCTTTGGCTGCAACTGACCACCAATTTTAATAAACTCAACTGCTACATTAATTGGTATGTATTTGGTATGTATGTTGGTTCTTGTTAGAGAGATTGAAAAATGTAGCATAAATATAAAAGATAGAGCTATCCTGTGGCAGAGATAAGATAAAATTGTTGAGGGTTTTAATATAATAATAAGTAAAAAAAATGTAACTTTTAAATTATATCTTAAAATACAGAAAAAAATCGCAATGGAATTTGATCCAAGGACTTTTAAGGTTTCAAAATAACCTATTTACCAATCACTCGATCAGTTAACATGTATTTAAATATAAGAGTTAACAAAAATTGTATAACATAGAGTCTACAAAAGTATTACAACTTACATCATTTTTTCAAATATAAAAATCAAAAGAAATATTTAATTATTCAAAATATATTCATCTAATATTAATTCTTAATCATAAAATAGTTAATTTCCTTTTAAGTTTTATTCTAGTCAGTGAACATTTATAGAGACAATCTCATACGAGGCTAAAAAATAGTTAATAAAGTTTTTTTTTCAACTGATAGATGGATGAAACGTAAGAGAATAAAAAAACTTATTCCGCACCTCTATAATTTAAAAAGTTAGACAAAAATATTCTTTATAAATATGTAACAATAAATTTTTTTTTTTTTCATTTTCTTTCAGCTAATTAGTGCAGAACTTTTGACTTTTGGAGAACAAGATACTCTCCGGTTAATTTGTGGTGTAATTATCTAGTTGGTATTTATTTCACACGGGATAACATGTGGTGTAGTTATCCGGTTCTTTTATTTTCTTTACCGGATAACTTAACTTCATGTTATCCGGTTCTGTTATTTTCTTAATTGAAAAACTTGTCTCATAGTTTTTTGGTGTGATGGATTTTGATATTTTTTTAGTGAAGGACATGATTGACGCATTTATCGACGATATAGTGAAGGACGACCGACTCAACAGCAGTCGAATCCTGAGTAAGATCAGATAGTTGCACCTGTGCCTATTCCATCGCATCCACCATTTCTCAGAGGACCGTCTGATACGTCTCTTTTAGTGAGGTATCAGAACCACATTACTCGACATTTGTGGGATGAAGAAGTAAGTTTGTCTATGAAATTTTAGGTTGAATCACATTTTATGTTAATTATTTATATATTATAACATATATTATGATTTATTTTTAGGAGAGAGTTCTGAAGAAAGAGTTGAAGGTTGTTGCACATGGCAGCAAGTTGATTGGATGAGTTCCATATATTCTCCCACCAATGATTGAGCGATGGTTATCTGATTCTGGTCTACTGTTTCTACAAAGAACCAAATTATCGAGGATAGATTAGAACTTAGTATCTGCATTTATGGAGAAATGAAATCCAAAAACATCGTCATTTCATATGCCATTTGGCAAGATGGCTATTATTTTGGATGATATTTCTTGTCTACTTCATCTACCGTGTAATGGGAGTTATAACCCTACAGAAGGGTTCATTGATTCAGATGCTATTACCCAGACTATTGATCTTCTGGGTGTTTCGTTGGAGGATACGACTGAAAAGGTTCGTAGTTGCAGAGGTCTTTATTATAGCTTGGATTGGTTGAAACAACTATTTATCCGTCAGTGAGTTGCGAACAGATTTGACTATGCAGCTAGAGCCTATATGTTGTTTTTAGTTGGCTGCACTATTTTTGCTGATAAGGCCTTTACACTTGTAAAAAAAGGTATTTATCACTATTCAGGACTTGTCTAGATGTGGTAGATATTGTTGGGGCAGCTGCACTTGTCACACTTTATAGATATCTAGGAGATGCTTCATTTTACAGTTGCAGGCAACTTGGGGGATATACCTCTTCGCTACAGGTACAAATGATTTACTTTAATTACATTTAGACGTATATTAGCTTATTTATAATACTTTTATTTGATAATATTCATTTTGTGTAACAGTGTTGGGTTCATGAGTATTTTCCTACTGTTGGCAAGAGAGGATTTTCTAAGATTGTTGATATCGGTAGTCCACTTCCTAGGGGGATGAAGTGGATGTACAAGCAAGGCGTGCAAAAGGTTGATGAGCTCAGACCTATATTGAATGGATTGACACTCGCTGATGTCATTTGGCGACCTTTTGATAATCACAAACAGCATCGGCCATTTAATGATACGTGCTTGTACATGGGTGGTCTGAAATGGTATGGTATCGTTGTTCTATATTTATCTTACAGATGTTTGCTTCAGTTTAGATACATGCAGTACATAGTACCTACGCCTTTTTACCAATAATGTCTTTGAATTGTGTTTTCTGGTTTGTTAAATCCAACAACCTGATTTCTTCGAATTGTGTTTTCCGGTTTGAAAATAATACAATATGAATTTCTTTACCTTATGTTATCTGGTTAGCGTCGCATACTTCCAAAACAACACTTTTTGACTCATTTGATTGTGTAGTAAAAAGTAAATAAATAAAAATTAAAAAAGGGTAAATTTGGAATATTTGATAAATTGTAGGTGTATGGGGATAAGTGTGGGGGTATGGGGTAAACTTTTCAAGAGTATATCACCTCAGGTTGAGGCTAGAAAATTGTAAAAAAGTATTTGGATTCAGCCCAAAGAAAATTATAAATAGAGGATTTCTTAATGCATCCCATAGGTTTTTTTTTACGTACCATGCAAAAATACGTAAATGTTCTCATATTTCAAAGATGCATCTTCGGACGCACCAAAAAGTCAGTTAATGTTAAAATATTTCGGAGATGCATCTTTGGAATATTTTGGAGGCTAAGTTGCGCGAGACCCTTCTTCCTCATTTTCTCATTTTCCTCAAAATCATTCGTCAAGCTCTCAATATTTTCTCTGCACCAACTCAAAACTTAATCATTAAGGTTTAACAGAACTTCAATCATCATCTTTAACATCAGAAACAACATCTGTAACATCAATTTCTTGTAAGTTTTTTGATTTTTTGATAAATTTTTGAGTTTTTGTATAAATAAGTAGAAATCAATGATTAGACTTAGAAATGAGTAGAAATAGCATTTAAGATAGTTTTGACATAGTGTATTAGATGTTTATTGGTTGAAAATGATGATCAATTTTTTTTTTAAAATTACACAGGGTACATTGACATCATTTATGCAGCTTCTGAGTTGCAAGAAACTTCAGAGATGAATCTCTAGAATTTCACAACATTTTAGTTTTCCAGCTTCCAGAGACGCATCTCTGGAATTTTCTGCATAATTTTGTTTTTTTGATTTTTTTGCTTGTGTGTTATTTGCCCGCACTAATGGTCGGTCTTACTTTAAATTACAAGTATAAGGGCTGATAGACAGGACATAGTGAGGTACAAGATGGTTGCTCAGCACGCATCAGTGTAGCAGGAGAAAAGTCAGTAGGTTTTGGAGGCAAACATTGACAAAGGTATCTTCCCTGATAGGTCTGATGTGAGGCAGGTCATAGATGTCATCATGACCGAGGCACAAGAGACATTGGTGTACTAGAGACAACTCCTGAGAACAGAGTGGATTGATGGGCGAGGAGGTAGACGAGGCAGATGAAAGGTAGTCAAACATACACAGTAGTGTCTTAGTATATAGTAATAATGTTATGTTCTACATTTCATTTTGACTTCCTTCTTACTATATTGAGCTCGATTGTATGTTATTTTCGACATTTATTGGTATTTTATTTATGTATGAAATTTTTGGATCATCTAGAATTATGGACGTAGATTTTTTATTTTAGATTGTATGGTATGGTTTAAATCTTCATCTGAATACAGATAAACAAAATATAACATGAAATACCAAGTGCTGATACGTTACGAAGTTCTATCTCTGAAATATTTACAGAGATGCATATTCGGTCCAATTCAAATGTATAATGGCTTCTAAGTGAGATGTATTGAATGTTTTAAATTGTTACGGAGATACATCTCCGGAATATTTCAACGTTCATTCAAAATTTGGTGTGTCTAGAGATACATCTCTGGAGACTATGGGCATTTAAATAATTTCGCGTTGTGGCTAAGAAATATTAAGGGTGCATTAAGAAATTCTCTTATGAATATCTTGACATAAATATAATGGAATCAGACGTCCATTCCTTAGTAGTTGGTATTTTCCAGAAGGCCTTAGGTTCAAGCCTAAAGATAACTATAAATATATCGACATTATAGTTGAGAGAAAAAACCTAACTCCAATATTGAAATACATGCATACAAAACTTTTCGCCCCTACATAATTGATGAATCCCCCTCTGAACAAGTTTCCCCTGACATAGTAAAAGCACAACTATTGAGCGATATCTTCCAGGATAAAAAAGACAAAGAAGTTAAGACATAAAAGAAGGTGTTATATGGAAGCCATACTACTCGACACCATAACTTTAAGAAATAAGACATAACTCTAGTACATAGGACAATCTAAAAGTTGAAGTAGAAGCTTTTATAGCCAAACCTCAAGTATGAACCTTTTAGCAAAAAGCATAGAGACATAGGTAAAATACATGGGAAATGACTGAGGGTGTTCCAATGAAACCCTAAGATTGTTGGGAATGATGTTAAGGATCCATAATTAAAAGAGACGCCTTCTTGATTTTATAGGATCAAGCAAAGTTGAGCTAACTGACTATAAGCAAAGCGTTATGTGAGAGGTAACCCACAACTTTTAATTTGAATTTTTTCTTTTGTTTATTTGAATTTGTAGAAAATAAAGAGATCAATTGCTTAACACCTATGAACTGCATGCAGACGTGAATATCTAGGCTCTACCTTTCCTCTTTCTCATGCTTTTATCTATTTACATTGCTGACAATGTAAGATTAAAGTGTTAAGGAGGAATTAATCTCTACTCTTAGTTTAAATTA